CGAATGGAACCATTCCACCGCCGAGCATCCGCCTGGAGAACGTGTGTTGACCTGCCACTGTGATTACATCAGTGCACCATAGCGCCCTCCACGACGTGACTTTGCCTTTGCATCACGTTCTACAAACAATCTGCACAAGAACGGAGGAGGCCCCCTTTTGTTCCAAGATTGGGGGTCAGCACGCGACGCTAGCTCAAACGAGGGCGCGCCGGTGTCGAGGTCGCCATAACGAAATAGTACCTTGAACCGCGTCACACAATTTCTGGAACCTGTTACCGGCCAAACCAGTCCACCATGGGTTATAGACAAGAAGCAAGGCCCAGATCCCGATCGTCGTTCACGGATGTCCACAGGGGGAACACGACCGTGTCCATCCTGCTCCGCGTTGTCGCGCATCCAGTTCGCACGAAGCGGGGCTTCCCACCGCTGCCGAAATCGGACGGCGTCGTAGCCCTTATCAGACAGCGCATCCATGAGGCGTCGCTCGAGTCTAGGTGTGGTCCGGGCGAGCATGAAAAGCACACGCAAGTGATCCGCCGCGAAACGCTGCGCCAACGCTGGGAGAGAGGTGATGCTCGATAGATCCAAGAAGCGAAGCAAAACCCCAATGATGCCGGGGCTGCCCCAGAGCACCTGGAGGTCGCAGAGGGTCGTACGAATAGGGGTTCCATTAGCTATCATCATTTGATCGATAGTATCATTATTTATATTGTCCGGAATGGCATGCTGGAACCAATACCCGCGGATATGCATGATATATATACCCTTATTGGTTCCAACATAGTAATTTCCTTTTTAACGAGGACGTAAAGAATCAAGTACTAGTATGGGGGCACCCCGGCGGGAAATGCAATTTTAGACGAGTCGTGGCACACAGCAAAAGCTGCGGGCACAGACTGCCGCACGTCCTGATTCGCCGGAGCTTGCGGCAAACCGGAACATTCCTTGAACGAGATGAGCACGCGCAGCAAAAAGTATCGAGTCGAGGGTGAGGGTCCCTCTGCAGAAATCCCGTCGAGGGCTATTGATGCGCATGATGGTGGGCGCGACGTCGACGAGGACAAGCAGGAGTTACAGATCGAGGAATTCTACGAGTCGCTCGGGCCCGTGGGCGTCCTTTCCTCTCGTCTTCCTAGGTGTCGCCGCGATCCTGTTCGGCCTCGCCGCGGATGCGATCGCGCTTTACCTTTTGAGCAGGAACCGCAGGTTTGCTTTGCGGCGTCAATTCTCGCCGCCTCTGTTAGTACCTCGCACCAACACAGGTCTCGGTGGCGGGACAAGATCGTGCCCTCGTGGAAATCGGCCGGAGTGGACGCGTACACGTACATGTGGGCCGGATACCTCCCGCTCGGGGCGGACAAGAACATGCCGAAGACTACGACTATTTGCACTCGGATAACTACCGATATCAGGGCCGTTGGCTCGCGTACGATCACGATGTAGATTTGGCACGCTGAGTCTATTTCGACCAAACCCCTAACCCTCCTTCTGGTTGTCAAATCATGTAATACCCTCTGTAACTTATCTATATCATCCTGTGTCACTCTTACATGACAAGCGAGGACGGAGGGATCCTCTACGGTGGACTCCAAAGTGCGGTTTGTTACTTCCTTCTTCTTTTGTGTTGCCGTTCCTTTTAGGCACCTGGAACACAGGCCACCATTGGAACCACTTCTTTTACAATTCCCCTTACAATCTTGGTCCTTGCAGTCAAACAACCTTGGGCGGGGTTGCTTCTTACCGAACATTTTTCGCATAGGCCTTTTTGCTGTTCCAGGGGGCCATACAGTGCGGGAAGCAACTATAACAGGGTTAGAAAGTATTAAGAAAGGGGAAGGATATTGGGTGACTCTGTACCAGCGAGCCACTAGGGAGATACAAAACTCTCTATCTCTCTAGAAGATGGCTATATTTTGGTGGTGCTCCATGCTAGCATAGGATTCTTCAAGCCCCCTCAAGATAGCAGAATGCAGCTATTCATGGCTGCGGGAGTTAGCACAGGTAGGAGAGGCCTCGTTGTAAAAGGGTGCTTTTTTCATCTAGCCTTAATAGAACTTCACGTAGATGGACCTCACCGTAGTACTCTCTGTAGTACGGGAGGTGTTTTTCGAATTCCATCTCGATCTTTTTTTCTTCTTCATGACTCTTAGCACGACCATAAATCTCGTCCAGCAGACTAAACACGTTATACTGCTCATTTGGGTTGTATGAGCGCCACCCAATCAGGCACGCGGAGAAGAAGATGACCGCCCTGAACCCTGTGGTCTTCGGCTTTGCGTGAATCTTGCCGCCTCCAATTATCGAAAGAGTTCCCGGTTTCACCCGTCCATCCGTAATTGATTTGCTGAAGTGATCAATTCTATTGAGAGGAGAAAGTAGTGAACAAAAATTTTTTAGAGTGGGATCATTGAAATGGTCGATACCGAGGTCGATGCACGCGTCCTCGAGTGACATCGTTGCGGATGAATAAATCGTACTTTCACT